TCTACCTTCTCTCATTCATTTGGTAGTAAAGGATCAGCTAATGGACAGTTTCAGTTTCCACGTGGCATTGCTATTGACAGTCAAGGATTAGTTTATGTTGTTGATAAGTATAATGATCGCATTCAGAAGTTCTCTCCAGATGGAAAGTTTGTGGGTCAGTTTGGTACTCATAGACTTGGTCCTGGACAGCTTATTGATCCAGTAGGTATAACAATAGACACTGCAGCTACTGGTCTAGTGTATGTTAGTGATAGCAATCATCGTATATCAGTCTTCACTAGTGATGGTGTGTTTGTTAGTAAGTTTGGAAGTTATGGCAGTAATATTAATCAGTTTTATACTCCTTATGGATTAGCATTTAATAAAGATGGATTATTGTATGTTTGTGATTATAATAATAATCGATTTGTTGTTTATTAGATTTATTTACTATTCTACTTATTGATTTAGTTTAGTTTTGTTTTTATTATAGTTATTGATTATTAATTGATGACATTAATATAAGCTGATAGGAGGAGGGTTGGTAACTTGGTATGAACAAGAAATAAGAATAATTATGAAAGACATGTATAGAATTACTGTCATTAATGATAATGAGACTTATGTCAGTTTGAACCTTTATGAGCATGATTTGTGGCCACAAATTGACAATTGCAAATAATTATGTCAATCACAGTGATATAATTATTTACAATGTAGCTCCTTCTAACAGTTTTTATACCTTATGCATTGTATTATGCATTGAATATTAAATTTTTATGTATAAGGGTTTTATTTTGTTGGTATACAATTTCGTGAATTTGTTCAGCTTTGCCATTTGTTGGTATAAATTTTTGTGAATCTTGCCTTCTGCAGCCTGTTTACCTAGTGTGCCATGCCCTTTTTGTGGAATTTATTTTAGCGAATTTAATGAAAACGTGAAATTAGTGAAATTTATTTCCAGTGAAATATAACCTCTATATGGTAATTTTTTATTAGGATTGTCATTCAGTGATTTGGTATATTAGTTTAGTAGCCATAATAATTCAATATATTTTGGCCTCGCCCAGCTTTGGGTAGGTGAGGACTAGGTATTACTGTTGTCTGTCTGTCATTCATTCTATTTGTGTTAGTACAAATAGTACATTCTATTTGTACAAATAGTATTACTATTTGTGTTAGTCTGTTAGGCCACATAATCTGCAGAATGAATGCCATGAAACATTCTAATTTTTACTACATATAAATTACTTGTATCTCACTTTTTACTTTCTCTTTCTCTCTCTCTTCCAGGCTAAGTCTTATTTTGCAGAAGGAGAATTAGAACAAGCTTTCATACTCTACAACAAGTTTGCTACGTAAGTTTATAAATAAAAATGACATGCAGTATCTTTTTCTAACCTTCATCTTCAAAATTTACCTTTGCTCCTGTTACTGCTACTCCCTGTCCTTTTACTTCTGTTACTCCAACATTTATTCTCCAAACTTTTTCTCTCTTTTCCTTTTATTTTATTCTCCCCCTCTCTCTCTCTTCTCCCAGGGGAATTTGGTCAACCTGACATTTTAATAGCTATTTGCCAAATTAAAACCGCCAATCATAACAATATGCCAAAATTGCCCCCATCTAGCTATACATTCTTAAACTTTCTCTTCTCTCTCTCTCTTCCTCCCCCCCCCAGTCTATTCATTGAGAAACTTCCAAAGCATCCTGAATACTCCAGGGCTCCAGCAACAGAGAAGCAAAGAGTAAAGAAACTAGTGAAATCTTCCTTTGACCAGGCCCTCCTCTGTAAGGAGAGACTAAAGGAGAAGTACACACAAGAGAAGGAGCTGTTCATACAGAGGAGAGAGAGTGAAGTAAATAATGATCTATTATGTACTGTGGTGAATTGGTGATGCATTTATATTTTGCAGTACTTCTGTAAGTAAATGTACTGTGTATGTATACTGTATTTATTATGTACACTGTGGTAATGCATTTATTTATGGCAAGTAAATTTTACAAATGCTACCTATTATTGCTATTATTTATAAAATAAATTTGATCAAAATTTAATTGCACATGTATGCCTATATATATAACCTTGTTCAAATTAAGCTTTTTAAAAATTTTGTCCATGAATCATCATAGGAAATAG